CTCGAATCGGCCACATCGCAATCAGGCACCTCTGGTGTGGATCCATCAAGGGATGCCGCCCCCGCTGGTCAATACCCCTGGACGCGGACCATGCTCTGATACGAGCGCGAATCTCTCTGCGCCTGATAAAACCAACTGCAGAAAAGCCACCGAAAATGGATGCCCAAGATACAATGTCAGCAATTGTTGCAAATAGGTCTACGAAGCGGAACTATCAGATTGCCTCTTAACTCAACCATCAGCCGGAGAACTCAGTGAACACTGGATGTCAATCAAGGATGCGATCCAAATGTCACTCACAACAACGGCGAATTCTGGCGCACGATCAAATAAAAATCCATGAATCTCCACGACCTCGGTTGCCCGACTAGCCAAGCCATTCTATCTGATGCACATTGCCACAAAGCGCGCAAATCCGTTAAACGCGAGGTCATCAGGAGTCTGAGGAAAGACCGCGAGAAGTGGTGGGTGTCGTTTCATGAGAAGTACGGGTCAAAGGAAGGTTACCGGGCAGAAAACTTTGGGGCACAGTTCATCTTGCACCCGTTGACACAAACATCCCTATGCGTGCTTCGACTGTGCAGATACTGTCAGTTGGGCTCCTTTAATTGGGAAACCGGGATCATGTTCAGTGATGGTTCGAGACACTGAGAGATTTGATTCGGTGCCGTAAACAGTAGCGCTCATGCATCTACTCATTATTCTTGAAACCACAGTCTACATGAATCCTGTATCTTCTACTTGAATTTAAACTCAAAATTTTAATCTTCCGCCTGCTCTTTTATCCAAAAGACAGCCGCCAAAACGGCCTCATGAAACTGTATGGTTAATGGTTGTAAAAACTGAACTGAGCTGACATGGGTAGCAGATAATCGAGCAGAATCCACTTCAAGGAGTCGTCCGGAAGTTTTGCCGGAGCCTTGAAAATGCCAGTTTATTTAGCAGTGAATACAAGTCACGACCCCCCGCAATGTGAACTAGTGATGACTGGCCCTGCGCGTCATCCTCCTGAATGCTGCACCTCAGCTGGAACCGTTCCACCTATTCCTCTATCTCGGACGGAATAGCATACAGATTCAGCTGCTCGACAGCTGGCACCTCCATTACCTGGCGTCAACTTGTAGTTAGCGAACTAGGTACGGATCAAGGATGATGAATTACGGCAGCAACCGAAGCACAATAGGAAAAAGGTCACGATAACAGGAGTTCCTTTATTGAAAGAAATCAGTTCGATTAAATAATGCGAGGTAGACATTACATTTGTCAAACGAGTATGAACTGATTACCGTCCTGGTCCTCCCTGTCACAAGCCATCTGTTGNGCCATCTGTTGATTGATTGATGTGCTGGTCCGTGGTCCGAATTACTAAAAAGGGAACGCGTAAGTGCGTAGCTGACGTCATCTCGTACGGGTAATCCACTGCATTCACCTTGGTAATTCTGTTTTGCCGGTCCCTTCCAATGTTCCCAGTCTACCTTGCTCTCGTTCGTTTATTGACCGAATTTATCAATTAGACGTTGATCTACAGTAGCTTATTCTCACACTTGCTTGTCTATGCACCCCTGTTTCGATCAATTGACTCGATTTCTTGGCCACTTGTCATCTACCCCCTCCCTCATATATCGGCACACACTGCTAATTCATGTTCGATCATGTGATTTTCCGATTGCCTCCCCGACTGTGATTGAACAGTCCTCATGACAGTCGGTCTGCTCTTATCACTCGGTGTCTATGCTTCGTCCGGCCAGTTTTGCTTTGTTCGGCCACCGAGGATTCTGTCCGCTCGATTGGCCCTAGTAGCTGTTATCTGTATCAGCCTAGACCGATTGACTGTCCGGTGAACTCTCTGTGAGAACGCGACGAATTGAGGTTTGTACCTGTGCTTGTGATGTAACCAGTATGTACCTGTAGAACCGCCTTTATTGGACGTTAGTAAATCAATCGTACTTGCTTAGTTCGATTCCGTCTTTTGGCTTGGCGCGTCACTCAACCTTGGCCTAGATCCCGAACAGATCTAACAGTACTCAATTCTGGTCTTGTTGACGAGAACGCATTGGACCAGTACTCGTGCACTATGCCGATGACAAGGAACCAACAGAAAAAACTCACCGAATCTGGACCGCTGGATAAATCACAATCGGTGAATGAGATCCCCGATCCTCCTTCCCCAATCCTGTCCATCACTGAAAACAATGTGGGTATGCAGTTTTCTTCCCGTTCCCCATTGTTTGGCATGGCTAATAAAGTAGATCAGGCAGGGAGTGAGAACTGAAGTAATCGGTCGTCGGTCCATAGCATTAGTAGGCTGCAACAGTTAGAGGCAGAGGAACTAGAGCTGGGGATGCATAGGCTGAAATTAAGGCAGCGGCAACTGTCCTTAGAAAGGCGAATAGTATTGGGCGGCCAGCAGACTAGTGATGAAGAAGCAGAAGGACATATGCAAGCCGAGATCCTGCTGGAAAATCATTTGGACTCCGTCAGAACGTACCTTGAAGAATTTCAAGCAATGGCTCCAGTCGATGGGAACCTGAATCTTTTCCCAAGTTGTAATCACTCCTCGCCAATTTAAACTACCGGATGTCGAGATAGGTATGTTTTTGATGGAACCCCGAAACGTTTATGAAAGTTCCTTAGTAGCTTCAAGGCAGACGTAGCCAGCCACTCGCACAACGATAGAGAGCGATTAAGTTACTTGATTTATTTGTGTGTCGGCGAAGCCAGAGAAGCTATTGAAGACTGTGTGTTGTTGTCCGCGTCAGAAAGATACTCGCGGGCGATGCACATTTTGGAAACCCAATTCAGATGTCCGGATGATGTCGCTGAGGGTCTTCTGGATGAATTGTGCAGTGGCAGTAGACTCAGAGCAAGTGATGTCAACGGTCTGCGTCAGCGAGACTTCCATAGCAGAAATGGATTACGAATCAATCCTTAACTGACCGACTACAATAAACGGTATTGTTAGGCACCTTCCAGAGTCCCTACAATTGAAGCGGGCCGAAGTAGCTCTGAGAAAAAGGCGAGACGGATCCCGACCTCTATTCAGACACCTAGTTGTATTCTTAGAGGAGAGTCTTTCGGTCATCACTTATTATTACGGGCAAGGAGTGACTTCTGCGATCACATCTTGGAAGCAGGAGGAAGATGTGCAACGCGTATATGGATCGAGGAGAAGAATAAACGCTGGTCGCTTCGACGAGAGATGTGCTGTCTGTCATGCCGAAGACGGTCTGGAATTATGTAATAAGTTCCGGTCTATGTGTTACGAAGAAAGGTTGGATGTGGCTAGAACACCAAGAGTATGCTTTAAATGTTTGAGGCTAGGTCACCGAGCTAGCTTTTGTGATACAAAGGGTCGCTGCACCGAACCTGATTGCAATGGTCGTCATCACGTTCTACTTCATATGCCCAGATCTCCCAATACGTCAGTGCAAACCAATGTAAATTGAGTGAAGTTAGACGTCCCACATACCTTTATGGGTTTTTTTTCCCGTCATGTTGATTGTACCAAAGGGGTCAAAAGAAACATACGCCTTTCTCGACAATGGCTCAGATTTCACCCTCTTGTCCTGTGTGGCCGCCGATACTTTGGGTATTGAAGGTCCAGTTACGAGAATCCGAGTCACTTCGCTGGTCGGAACCACTTGTAAAACAACCTCGGAGGTAAACTTTGCGGTTCCGTCATTGGATGGCGAGCACCAGCTGCAAGTGGAGAAGGTCTACACGCTCGAGTCACTACCAATTCAAGCAGCTTACGACCTACCCGAAACTATGAGTTGTTGGCCTCATGTGAAGGGCATACATTTCCAGAAAATCCAAAATAATACTGTTGATCTGCTGATTGGCACGAACACTCCGGAAGCACATTGGGTGGAAGATCAACGCATCGGAAATTCCTGACAACCGTACGTATTGAAAACAGTTCTAGGTTGGGTACTGCTCGGGCCCGTGAGAGGGGATCGGTCTTCAGCAAGATCTGTCAACTGTCTAGCTACGGAGAAAACGATACAATTGCAATTCGCCAAACTCTGAAATCGAATTCGGTGAGAATAACCAAAAGGGTGAGTTGTCGAACTCCCAGAAGGACCAGTTGACCCCAGAAGCCGTTCGAAGTTCAGTAACTGTTGCGGGGAATCATTAT